TTTGGATCCGTAATAACTTCGTATAGCATACATTATACGAAGTTATACGATATTCACATATATATTATATATATACAATTAGTTTTCTAAGACTTCCCGTTACCGGTCAGTAAAAGAGACAAAAAGGAAAAAAAAAAAACATTTCTTTGGGTCGTCCCGGTGGCGCACTGGAGAGTGCGCCGCTTGAGAGCGCGGCGGCGCTCCTGCCGAGGGGTCGGATCCCATGTGGAGACCGGTTCCCCCTCACTGGCTGAGCATGGTGCGGGCGCAACACCAAGGGTTGCGGTCCCGTTGCCGGTCCCCGGTACGGGCGCGACACCGAGGGTTGCGATCCCGTTACCGGTCAGTAAAAAAGACAAAAAGAAAAAAAAAAAAGTTATAAGTGGACTTTTTAGAATCAAAATACAGTATTTTTGGATCCAAACAAGATGGCGGAATAGACAGTCCGCAGCGTCACTCTCTCCCACAAATCAACCAAATTTACAACAGCCAAGCCAGGGACGCTAGAGCTCAGGGGAAGAGGAGGAAAGACCTATGGAGTTCATGAAGGCAGGAGAAACCATGATGAGAGAAAGAAAAAACTGCTCTGAGCATTTTGGGCCATGGCTGCTTTAAGGCTCGAGCTGTTGAGTGCATGGAGCAGGAGCTGGCAGAAGCCACAGCTGTGCACTTCAGATGGAATTACTTGGAGGCTGCAGGAGAGAAGAGGGCCTTGGCGGCAGCCCCCAGGACAACAAGACCACTAATAGGGTTCACATGGACCCACGCAGGAGTGAGGAGCCAGAACAACTGAAGAAAGGGAGCCATTCAGAGGCCGGTGAGTCATCACAAGGGACCAGCGCAGGGCCCCTCCAATGGGAAGTGTTTGCAGCATGGGCGGTGGGAGAGACGGGCCCAGAGGGAGAACTCTGAGACACAGCAAGGACAGCTGATCAGCACAGGACCACTCAGAGCAGAATGGTCAGGAGTGCAGAATTGCATAGGGTGCAGTTTGATGAAAACACTCAGGCCCAGATCAGAGATTCTACAGAGCACAGATCCACCGGGTCTCTGGAGAGCCGGAAGTACCTATAAGGTCAACCATTAAACCCTGAGCTGCACAAAAAACCTTTCCTAGGGAAACAGCAGCAAAGTAGCAATTTAAACTACCACACAGCTCAATTACTGGTTCCCACAGGAAGTTCCCCCGTGTTAGAAGCAAAGGACAAAAAATTAATTCTGGCCCAGGCACACCACCAGCACCTGGGGACCTGCCTGGAAACCGGAGGCTTGGATCTGGGGACCGGACCCCACTCCCACCTCCAGGCAAACTGCACCAATGCCTTGGGGCCAGCCTGGGGACCTGAAGCATGGAGAAGGGGACTGGACCCCCCTCCCACAACCAGGCACACCACGCCAGCACCTCAGGGCCCGCCCAGCCCAGAGGCATGCAGAAGGGGACTGGACCCTCCTTCCACACCAGGCACAAAACGCCAGCACCTCAGGGCCCACCTGAGTATCCGAGGCATGGAGAAGGGGACCAAACCCTCCTCCCACAACCAGGCACACTGTGCCAGTACCTCAGGGCCTGCCCAGGGACCTGGGACATGGAGAAAGGGACTGGACCCCTCTCCCACAACCAGGCACTTGGCGCCAGTGCCTTGGGGCCTGCCCAGGGACCAGAGGCATGGGGAAGGGGACCAAACACACCCCACAACCAGGCATAATGCCAGTGCCAAGGAGCATGCCAAAAACAGCACCTCCACATGGGTGGCCCACCACAGCCACTACAATAACCATGGCTGCTGCAAAAGCAGCTAGTCACCACAGCCACCATGTGTAGATGGTCCGCTAACCACTGGAGTGCATTCATACAAGAGTCACCAGCAGAGACAAAGAAAAGAAGAGGATATCTCTTTCCACAAAACCCATTTCAGAGTGATGGAAACATCTGCTCTATGATAATACTGGGGGACCTGATCACATCTCTCAGCATTGGACAGATCTTCTAGGCAACCAGTTAACAGAGTAACCATTATTCTTTCAGAGGAGAGAAGAAATCTAGGGCAATGAGAAGGGGGAGGGGGAGGAAGTGGGGGAAGGGGAGAGGTTGGACAAGGGGCATAAAGAATAATTATGATTTGTGGGCCGGCCCGGTGGCGCACTGCTACAGTGCGCCACTTGGGAGCGCAGTGGCGCTCCCGCCGAGGTTTCGGATCCCACATACAGACCGGCCGCTCACTGGCTGAGCGGGGGGGGGGGGCAGCACCGAGGGTTGCAATCCCATTGCCGGTCCCCGGTCCGGTACGGGCGCGACACTGAGGGTTGCGATCCATTGCCGGTCACGAAAAAAGACAAAAAGGAAAAAAAAAAATACAGTATTTTTTTGGGCCGGCCCGTGGCTCACTCGGGAGAGTGCGGTGCTGATAACACCAAGGCCACGGGTTCGGATCCTATATAGGGATGGCTGGTTTGCTCACTGGCTGAGCGTGGTGTTGACAGCACCAAGCCAAGGGTTGAGATTCCGTTACCAGTCATCTTTTAAAAAAAAAACAAAAAAAACCCCAGTATTTTTTTTTTTTTTGTCTTTTGTCTTTTTCCGTGTCCGGCAACGGATCGCAACCCTCAGTGTTGCCCCCGTACTGGACCGGGGACCGGCAACGGGATCGCAACCCTCGGCGCTGCTCCCGCGCCTCGCTCAGCCAGTGAGCGGGAACCGGTCCGTATGTGGGATCCGAACCCTCGGGCGGGAGCGCCGCCGTGCTTCCCAAGCGGCGCACTATCCAGTGCGCCACCGGGCCGGCCCAAAACCCCAGTATTTTTGTTTTCATTCATAACAGCAAATCTTTTAAATAATATATTTAGTTATTCAGCAAATATATAATAAATACCCACTTTGTACAAGCCTGTTGTTACCTAGAATTTAGAATCTTCCTGTAGAGAGTTGAAACAACACTGATAAAAATTCCTTTTACATTTCCTTTTACAGTTCTTTAACAACCCCCTACTTCCTTATTTCAGTAGCTCTTCTATTATTCAGTGTACCTCCCTCCCTCCTCCAAATCCTTTATTCTTGAGGGAGTACTTATGATTAAATAGATTCCTCTGTAGAAAGTATATTAAAATATATAGTCAAGCGATTCCCTTAGGAATTACTGAGCTGGTAAGTACTCATGAAAATCTGGCCATCTTGAAATGGGAGTTTCCATATTCTTTTGGTTGGTGAAAAGAAGATACTACATTAAAAAGAGTTCCAGGCAGATGCCTGGAAGATGGAGGCAAGTCAATGGCCCCAATGCAACCACATCACTGCAATAAAGCAGTTAAGAAATGAGTTTAAACTTATAAGTAAAACCTTGGTGTCCTACTAAAAGTATTAGGAGGTATAAATTGTAGCTTATTTAGACAGGGAGAAAATATAGTTTGGAGAGTAGAAAGAATGTTACAGAAATTTTTTAAATCTCCAGCAAAATATTTACCACCATATCAGTGCAGCTGGCTAAGCTAATAGAGTTTCTGTGTTTGTTTGTTTTGTGGTAAAAACAGAAAGAAAAACACCCTTCTTCTCTAATGTATCTAGGAGCAGAATTGGACACACACCTTCAGAGTGGTAGCTGCAAAATTAAGAACAGCACAGCCTGTAGTCTCAAGGGTCACCATTTCAGGGCTAGATTTGGATTAGGAACTAGGCTACGTGGTGGGCCAAACCCACACAAATCCAGAAGTTGGCCAGAAACATGTATTGATTAGCTCAATTTAGAACCCAGGCAACTCAGAAACAGTTTCACTATAAACTGTTCCTTTTAAAGACTTTGGATAGCTTCTTTCCATTGGTTTCTTTATATAAAGTTTTTTTTTTTTTTTTTTAAAGATGACCGGTAAGGGGATCTTAACCCTTGACTTGGTGTTGTCAGCACCAGGCTCTCCAAAGTGAGCTAATCAGCCATCCCTATATAGGGATCTTAACCTGTGGCCTTGGTATTATCAGCACCACATTCTCCCAAGTGAGCCACCAGCCTTTTGGCCCTTAAAGTTATTCTTAAAACATCAGTTGTGTAGGTATTTGTGACTTAAAGGGGAATGGCTGGATTATTGAGTTCCAGAGAATGAAGCAGCACTGCCTCGGGGGTGGCAGTAATTTACTTTTTGTTGAGCTGCAGAGATGATCTGGATGAGCTAGGAGGGAGAGGCAGAGGTCGGGGAATGAAAGTATGTATAACCATCTGCAGATGTTGCTGCTTTCAGTCTTCCCCTCTGAAATACCTCATTTAGACATCAGAATCTAAACCACCATCTACAGCTGCTATTATCATAACCCAGGTACAGTTTCTGAAGTGTACTAAATCTAAAATGTTTTTATCTTTTTGGATCTTTTCTTATTAACCTTTCTCTTTTAAAATCTTCCTCAGTTCTATCTTAATCTGGCCTGTGGAGGCTTCAATTTACTTCTTTTTTTTTTTTTCCTTTTTGTCTTTTTTTGTGACCGGTAACGGGATCGCAACCCTCGGTGTCGCACCCGTACCGCGACCGGCAACGGGATCGCAACCCTCGGTGTCGCACCCGTACCGCGACCGGCAACGGGATCGCAACCCTCGGTGTCGCACCCGTACCGCGACCGGCAACGGGATCGCAACCCTCGGTGTCGCACCCGTACCGCGACCGGCAACGGGATCGCAACCCTCGGTGTCGCACCCGTACCGCGACCGGCAACGGGATCGCAACCCTCGGTGTCGCACCCGTACCGCGACCGGCAACGGGATCGCAACCCTCGGTGTCGCACCCGTACCGCGACCGGCAACGGGATCGCAACCCTCGGTGTCGCACCCGTACCGCGACCGGCAACGGGATCGCAACCCTCGGTGTCGCGCCCGCACCGCGCTCAACCAGTGAGCGGACTGGTCTCTATATGGGATCCGAACCCTGGGCAGGAGCGCCGCCACGCTCCCAAGCGCCACACTCTACCGAGTGCGCCACCGGGCCAGCCCAGTTTCAATTTACTTTTGATCCCTGTTATTTTTCAGGGCTTGTAGTAGAATGCCAACAAGAACGATCACAGATAAAAAATAAAGAAATAGCACTGCGTGTGTTGAGAGCCAGACTCTACCAGCAGATTATTGAGAAAGACAAATGTCAACAACAGAGCACTAGAAAACTGCAGGTAAGATTTATTTAGTGTAGTAATTTAATAACTCTGTACAAAAGTTATTTTATGTAGAAAGTGTAGTGTTCTTGTTCAAATAAAAATGTCTTGAGCACTGGGAAACGTGTTCGTTTGTTAATAAGCAGTAACTTAAATGCACATGGACTGATGAATTATGGCTAAACTTGGGCATGCCAGTTTGCAAATGTGTGGATGAGAGATGTGTAAACTAAAAATGATTTCCCAATTGTTTCCCCCCATTGTTTATTTCATAACTGTCTTAAAAGGAAATTAGTTTAAAAGGCAAAATAATTCTTTGGAAGTTAAAAGATTTTCAATTTTTTATTTAAAAACCTATGCTTTTATTATAACTCTATGGGGGATCAAAAATAAAAGGAACCACAAAAAACTGGGAACAGTGGTTGCTACTGATGGAGTCTGGGGACAAGGAATAGAAGGGAGATTTATTTTTCACTATATACCCTTTGGTAATTTTTGATTTATTTATATTTGATTATTGAAATTCATAAATAGATAAATTCTAAGCAAAATGAATAAATGTTATTGTTTTAAGTAAACAAAATTTTTTAATTTAAATTCTAAAATAAGTAAAGTTTGTCTTTGAAAGAGGCTGGAAGGGAAAAATGGAACACAGAAATAGCTATGCTTTTGTGTTACTTGCAGATAGGTGTGTTATGGTAAATTAAATTTGAAATATGTTAGGCCGGCCCGTGGCTCACTCGGTAGAGTGCGGTGCTGATAACACCAAGGCCACAGGTTCGGATCCTATATAGGGATGGCCGGATGGCCGGTTTGCTCACTGGCTGAGCGTGGTGCAGACCACACCAAGTCAAGGGTTAAGATCCCCTTACCGGTCATCTTTTAAAAAAAAAAAAAAAAAAAAAAAATTTGAAAGATGTTGCTTTTAGGATACTAAATTTGTATAAACCTAAATATTAATTCTTCTTTTCACCTAGATGTGTCCTAGTCTTTTCACACTTTAGTCCTTTTAGCTGTCTTTACCCACATTCTAACTTGCAAATAGTAAAAGTGGCAGGATAAATAATATGGGTGTACTTTAAAAAGTTTGTGGAAAAATAGAATTAAAAGGTAATATGGGTCTGGCCTGTGGCTCACTCGGGAGAGTGTGGTGCTTATAACACCAAGGCCACGGGTTCAGAGCCCATATAGGGATGGCCAGTTAGCTCACTGGGTAAGTGTGGTGCTGACAACACCAAGTCAAGGGTTAAGATCCCCTTACCGGTCATCTTTTTTAGAAAGAAAAAAAAGAGAAAAAGGTAATATGAATCTTTCCATGAACTTTTTGAAGTATGCTCATATATTAATACTCTATTTGTGGTGATCCCTGCTTGTGGAACAGCATCAGTATGTATATTTGCAGATAGGAACGCTCATTTACATGCATTACTTCTTGGCAAATAAGTGATAATATAAACACTATGGACTCTGCCACATTTGAATTAATGAAAGACACTGGAGTTTAACTTGCCATTTGACATTTTGGCACCAAAGGTTCCACATAAGTATTCAAGATTGGTCTTATGCAAATTGTTGTGTGTATGTCTTTAACTAATATGTACAGTGGCTTTTATATGAAGGACATTATGGCATATTCTCAGCCCTGGCTCCACTTATCCCTAAAGAGCTTTGTAGATACCCAGGCCCCACCCCCAGAGATTCTGTTGCAATTGATTTGGAGTGGGGTCCTGGCCATTAATATGGTGCTCTGGAATGGTAGTTTCCAAACCTGACCAATTATCAGAATGGTTGGCCTAGGGAATGTCTTCAAAATACATAATTCCTGATGCAGTCTATCTGAGGTTGGGCTTAGGAATCTGTAATTGTTTTAAATTCTCCTGATGAATAGGAGTTTAGTTTCATATTGCTTTCCTTAGGATTTAAGAAAATGGTAGAAATCTTTTTTGAAATCTTTAAAAGTGAAAGTAAGCTGGCTGGTTAGCTCAGCTGGTTAAAGCGTGGTGCTGATAACACCAAGATCCGGGGTTCAATCCCTATACCAGCCAGCAAAAAAACAAAATAAAATAATAAATAAAATTTTAAAAATCATTTTTTTTTTAAAGTGAAAGCAATTGAGAGAGTGTGCGGTGTATATCATATGTTGGGCAGGTAGGGGAGATAAGCAGACTAAAGTACAAATAACCATAGCATGAGGTGAACTATGGTATCTAGTGTAAGGGGTTTCAAAGAAGGAAGAGAACATATTTTAATTGCTTGGAACAGAAATGCAGAGATGATAGGAGAGTGTCAGGAAGGGGCATCCTTTGAGAAGATGTTTTTAGTAGAGTTAACAGACACACACATAATAATGATATGGCATAATAAGTGGTATTATAGAGGTGCACATAATTTTCAGAAATAACATTTAGAAGTTATGGCCATGTTATGAAATACCTTGAATGCTGAGTTGAACTGTGTCTGTTTAGTAGACAAGAAGGAACCAAAGAAGAAAATTCATCAGAAAACTGCTTTTGGGGGGCCGGCCCGTGGCTCACTCGGGAGAGTGCGGTGCTGATAACACCAAGGCCACGGGTTCGGATCCCATATAGGGATGGCCGGTTGCTCACTGGGTGAGCGTGGTGCTGACAACACCAAGTCAAGGGTTAAGATCCCCTTACCGGTCATCTTTAAAAAAAAAAAAAAGAAAACTGCTTTTGGGGGGCCGGCCCGTGGCTCACTCGGGAGAGTGCGGTGCTGATAACACCAAGGCCACGGGTTCGGATCCCATATAGGGATGGCCGGTTGCTCACTGGGTGAGCGTGGTGCTGACAACACCAAGTCAAGGGTTAAGATCCCCTTACCGGTCATCTTTAAAAAAAAAAAAAAGAAAACTGCTTTTGGGGGGCCGGCCCGTGGCTCACTCGGGAGAGTGCGGTGCTGATAACACCAAGGCCACGGGTTCGGATCCCATATAGGGATGGCCGGTTGCTCACTGGGTGAGCGTGGTGCTGACAACACCAAGTCAAGGGTTAAGATCCCCTTACCGGTCATCTTTTTTAAAAAAAAAAAAAAGAAAACTGCTTTTGGAAGACCAAGCAGGGCCACACGATGTAAGCAGAAAAATGGAAGATTAACCAGGAGATTTTTCCAGGAATATAGGGAAAAGTAATGAGCCCTTGAATGATAGTAGAAATGGAAATGACAGGGTATAATAAGAGACCTTTGAGATCAACTGGTAATGGGTAGTTAGAGAACAGGGTGAATTGAAGGTGGCCTCACCCCCAGCATCTATATCAAAGCCTGGCATAGTAAGCTCCCACTAAATGTTTGTTAAATTGCAGAATGTCAGAGTTTCCTACTTGGATAAAAAGGAACACAGGGTGATGTCATTTATAGAGCAGGAGGAAGAACTGATTGGGGTGGGAAGATGATTAATTTGGATTTAAATATTTGGAGTTTGAAGTATCACAGAGACATTCATTCTTATTCTGTAACTAAACTTCACAAACCTGTAGTCTTAAACATTAAGTTCTGCCCATTCTTGTTTCTTGTCACTTTGTATATATGACTTTTAGAAAATATTTAAACTGTTAAAATAGGAAAGTCACTTACAAGTACTTTTTCCATTGTAATAAAGGTATTTATAAAGTTAAAATATGAATTGTTTTTTGTTATGGCACAGGTGGGAACAAGAGCCCAGTCAGAAAGAATTCGGACGTATAATTTCAACCAGGATAGAGTCACTGACCACAGGATAGCATATGAAGTTCGTGATATTAAGGTAATATTATTGAGTATGCTTTATGTACCTTCGACTTTCAAAGAAAGTACAGTCAAATTCTAGAGAGTTTTGTCTAAAATATTATCAAGTAATTTAAAATTTTTAAACTAATTTATATTTATACCCTCAAATTTGCAGACATTTTTTGTTTCTTGGTAAGAAATATGATCTTTATGCCAATTTGAAACAGTTGTCTTTATCTTTTCAAATTCCATATTCTTCGTTATGCAATCACAATGTATTAACATATATTCAGTCTACATGTATACATGTTTATTAGTTTTCTATTGCTGGGTAACAGATTACCATAAATTCATTATCTCATGATTTATATAGGTCAGAAATCTGGGCACGAGTGAGCTCAGTTCTCTGCTCAGGGTTTCACAATTCTGAAATGAAGGTGTGGCCAGCTACATGCTTTCCTGGAGCTCGGCTTCCTCTCCCAAGCTCATGTGGTCAGCAGAATTCCATTGCCTTGAGTTGTAGGATTAAAGCCCTCATTCTCATGCTGACAGTCAGCTGGAAGTTGCTCTCGGCTCCTACATACTGACAGTCAGCCAGAAGTTGCTCACTTTGGATCTTTTCTTGCACAAATGGCTCTGGCCTTTTCAAGGACTTACCTGATTAGGTCAAGCCTACCTGGATAATGTCTTTTTGATTAACTCAGAGTCAACTGATTAGTCACCTGATCACTGGAGTGATACTCCATCATATTCACAGGTTCTGTCTGCACTCAAGAGATGGAATTATACATGGTGTGTACACCAGAGGGCATCTTAGAGTATTGCCTACCACAATGTGTATTCATTAGATTCAGGTGTTAGAGTTAATTCTGTTGGGGAAAAGACCCTGTCAAGACTGAACATTAACCTACCTAAATACCATCTAGCAAGGACCACTGACATTAGTACATTAATGATGAAGCACAGAAGAATTTCCCTTTTGCTGCCACTGAAGAGGAAAGTGAACTGGTTCCCATAAAGAACTATGTGGAAAAGGCAGAAGACAGTTTTGATCCTTTTCCTTGGTGCAGTGTGACAACTAAGACTTCTTTCACTTAATTTTGTCTCATTTCATACTCAAAATTATAGTCCCAATTTTGCAAGGAAAATATGTTTTTTAAATAAATTTATAAATTTCTGTGTATCTCATGCCACTTTCTCTGTCTCCTCAGTAGTATAAGGTTGTCTTGCATAGATAGGTACATAGTAGGTATGTTGAAAACAGGAAAACATTTGCTAACTTCCCTTTCCTCAGGAAACACACAGTATTAACCAAACATCTTTGGCCATATCGTTGTAATTACACTATATTCTTTCAGTTTTTTTTTCTGGTAGTGGTGACAGTTTTCCCTAAGACAGCCACATTCTTTTGACAAGTAATAATATCTTTTAGATGGGCATGCAGTTATATACTAGTATAGTATTTAGTCATGAAAAAGAGGAAGGTAACTGGCTTTTACATATAAAATATCTGACTCTGGCCTAAATGTTAATTATGTTTCTACTAACTAAACTAGCATGTCAGACTCAGAAATACTAAGAAAAATTATATTGATATTCCCCAATAATCACTACACTCTATTGGAAAGAAAGAAAACATTCCATATTAGTGAAAGGAAAAAGTTTGAAAACAGCATGAGAAAAATATACTGTAGTTGTAGACAACATTAAAATATGTGTGCAGGGGGAGGGGATGGATGGGGTAAGGGGAGATGTTAAAGGTCATAGTGTTTCAGTTAGACAGAATAAGCTTTAGTGATCTCTTGCACAGAATGGTGACTATAATAAATAATAATGCATTGTATATTTCAAAATTGCTAAGAGTAGATTTTAAATGTTTTCACCACAAGAAGATGATAAATATGTGAGATGATGGATTTGTTAACTAGCCTGATTTAATCATTCCACATCGTAAACATCATATTGTACCCCATAATTATATACAATTATTTTTTGTCAATTAAATATAAAATTTTGAAAAATTTGTGTGAAGGATAGTAAAGAGACTAGTAGGAATGAATAATTTAGGAACTGAATCATATAAGAGGTTGGAAAATTGATAAGAACCTTAACCCCGGGCAACAGCCTACTGGAAAGAATAGAAAAGGTGGATAGGAAAGAAAGTAAACATCTGTAAGATGTTTTGCTCAGCTCTCCTCTCTTCTTCTAGAACTTGCCCTTCTTTCTACTCCCATCAACATAGTTCCTGTTGAAGCTGCTATAATCTTACACGTTTATGATCCTGACAATAATTTACTTATCTGGAGTGGACATCTATTTTTTTTTTTTTTTTGGAGTGGACATCTAAACAGCCCCAGCCAATGAGTTTCCTCCCGGAATTTTTATTTTTTATTTATTTATTTATTTTTGTCTTTTGTCTTTTTCCGTGTCCGGCAACGGATCGCAACCCTCAGTGTTGCCCCCGTACCGGACCGGGGACCGGCAACGGGATTGCAACCCTCGGTGTTGCCCCCGCGCCTCGCTCAGCCAGTGAGCGGGAACCGGTCTGTATGTGGGATCTGAACCCTCGGACAGGAGCACCACCGTGCTTCCCAAGCGGCGCACTTATCCAGTGCGCCACCGGGCCGGCCCCGGAATTTTTAAACTGTAGATGCAAAGGGTCTTTCTCTCTCTTGGTGGCTAAAGGTGAAATATATAAAGCTTATAAGAGGTTAGAAGCCACATTTCCAGCCATGGGGAGAAAGCATCTTCAGTGAGACAAGAACAGAACCGATAGACTGAGAAAAAAAAGAATGGGAAATGTATAGAAAGAACACTGATGATGTGAATTCCCACATTTATTTATTCCTGAGGCCCAGTGTCATTCCCAACGTGGTCACAGCAGCCCTCTACATTCCTGTCTTTGGCTCTGTGAGATTACCCAGTATTCTTACTATGATTTCCCCTATAGGTCACTTTATTTTTTAGTTTTTATTTATGTAGATAATAAGCATAGATTACCATGTAATGCATTGTTTCACATTTTTTTCTGTTTCCCAAAGTCCTTGTGCAGATTTCTTAGCATCAGTCTTATCTCCTGTTCTATACTCGAATTACATTGGAAATTTCTCCTCGCCTTGGGCTTTCAATGTAGTTTGTTGACCTGCCTTTCTTAATACTCATTCTTTTGACTAAAATGTTCTGCTCATCTCTATTTGGGGAAATACTGTTCTCTGTAAGATCGAATTCAAATTTTTCTTTCTTCCTGAATCTTTCCTTGATGCCACCTTTCTGTCAAAGTTAATGTCTCTTCCCCAAACTTGCTGTCTTCTTTATTTTTTAATTTGTTGTATTATTTTGTGATATTTTTGTAGCTATTCCACTAGATCATTAGCTTCTGAAAGTTAGGAACTGCAACTCATTCATCTTTTATCTTTGTAACTTTAGCACTCTGGTTAATCCAATTCAATTCTAAATGTGTTGTAATTATCAGTAACAGTGATAATCCTTTTTACATCAGTTCCAAAGATTAAGTCACCTTGATAATACCGTAATAATTTGAACCCCAAGTACAGTGATTTTATAAGCAACTTCATATTATGTTCAAAATATCATAAATCTAAATTTTAAAATTACATCATAGTGTTTTTGCTTTCTGTTTAATTTTGGAGTTTAATTGAGGTTTTACTATATGCTGGTCTATATATATAGAGGAATACAAAGATATTAAGACATATCCTTTCCTTTACAGTTTAATTCAAGAAATAGATGTATACACCCACCAAAAGTTCAACTTTAGGACCATTCAAGAAAGATTCAATATAAGATTAGTTCATACCTAGATCAAAACTTTAAATGTTCTGTGTTACAGATGCTAACATTAAAGTATGCTTCTTTTTGTAATGCGTTTCTGGCTGCCAGAACCCGGAGGCAGGGGGCCCACCTGCATACAGTGGGGTCAAGTTGTTTGGATAAATATGCTACTGGGGCGAAGGAGGGGCCATATGTTTGTCCTAAGGCTTGACCTTCTCTTTCATGGATATAGAGTGAAAAGGGTTTGGTGAGGTCAGGAAGATGTAAAGCAGGAGCACTAACCAGAGCTTGGTGGAGTTTTTGGAATGTCTTGTTAGGGGAGGAGGACAGGGGTCATTTGGGTCCCCCTTGGCCAGATTGTACAACGGGCGGGCCATTAGGGAAAAGTTGGGGATCCAGGCCCTAAAATACCCAGCTAGGCCCAGGAAGGACAAAATTTCTGTTTTGGTTTTTGGAATGGGTAAAGAGGATAAGAGGGTACTGTGGTTGACTTATGTATTTAGAGGGATTTTTTAG